TACAATACCAACTGAGACAAAAGATTTAGGATGTCACACCAGTAAAAATACTAATGATATTTCAGTAGTTTACACATTGGAAAATAAGTGAAACATGGTAATCATGCATTATATACCTTCCCATCCAAAGACTAGCTTGACAAGATGTTACAGAGGATGAGTTTTCATCAGTTTCTTCAGAGGTAGAGCTCTGTGCCAATATTCCTGCTGCTTGACTTGTGATGTCTTTATACAGCTGAATAAACTGATACAAATTCATGATTCGTGATGCTTCCACAATGCCACTACTTTTGTCAATCTAAAAATACAAAGAAAATGGAAAAAGAAATAAAGATTGATCATCACTCTGACCAATTTTTCCAAGAAAGGGGGAACAAATAGTCGAATATCCTACGAAACAAAAGTTTTCAAGATCTGCAAATTACATGGGAAAGCAAGAGTCTGAATAAATGAATATCATGTCCCCTACATTTGTGGACTTCAAAATACTTACATCAATTTATCTTATTTGATATTCATAATAACCCTGTAAGATGGAGTAGGCATCATCCTGTTTAGTGTTGATGTTAGGTGACTTTCCTAGTCAGAATTAAGAAATGAATTTTAGAGATCAGTATTGATAATTCTTTCACTTTAATTTCTTAAAGAGTTTCTTTTTTTTTTTCCTTTTTGTCTTTTTTCGTGTCCGGCAATGGATCGCAACCCTCAGTGTCCTGCCCGTTCGGACCGGGACCGGCAACGGGATCGCAACCCTCGGTGTTGCTCCCACACCTCGCTCAGCCAGTGAGCGGGAACCGGTCTGCATGTGGGATCCGAACCCTCGGCGGGAGCGCCACCGCGCTCCCAAGCGGCGCACTGTAGCAGTGCGCCACCGGGCCGGCCCTCTTAAAGAGTTTCTTAATTAAAGGATGTATTTGAATCCAACAACCACATGCCATTCTATTATAACTGAAACAAGAATACTTTTTTGTATATCTTTAGGTTCTATTTTGTACCCAAACTTCTAAACTAAAGATAATTAAAGTAAATCCTAACAAAAAGTGGTTGAATTTTTCCCAGAAGGCTGTTTTGAGCTGTAGCAAAAAATTCATCTAATACGAAGTAGAACCTGTGGCTTAGAGATTCTATCTCTACGGGTTGTACCTTTCCTGTCTCCAGTTTACAATCTAACATGAGGAGGGATTTGGAGCAAGGATAGAGAACTGCTTTTATAAAGCTTTAGTGGAGTCATGAGTTGGGCATATATTCTTTTTTGAAATGACCAAATCCAGTAGGATGAGGGTGTAATATTCTTGGATGAAGAACTTGAAGTAATCAGGGAAAGGTCAGAGACGTGACAGACTTCTTTTCAGCACAGGAGATGGGATGGAAGCCATGAAATCTATTAAGTACATATCAAAGTAAACTGAACAAGCAAAATCAAAAAATATTTAAAGAAATGAAGAATACAGGAGAGACAAAAAGATAGAGGGACTTAAAACTGTGAATAAAGTTAGGTTTTAAAATGTGTTAATGGACCTGGGATATGAGTTAGGTTACATATCAGAAAAAGCAATATTATAGCAACATTTGGATATTTGAAATGAAAACAGTTGCTGGGATATGAGTTAGGTTACATATCAGAAAAAGCAATATTATAGCAACATTTGGATATTTGGAATGAAAACAGTTGTAACTAACATTAACTAATTGTTTACTATTTGAGAAGACAGTAAAAGAAAATACTGAGAAGCAAGAATAAGTCAAACTCCACATTGTGAAAATGGCATAACCAGCTCTAATAATCAGAAAGTAGATTAAATTTTTGGAAGGTAAGATCTAAGTGAAGATACAAATAATACAAGCCTCTTTGTAATAAGAGTCTGTACATGGGGTAGACAACAAATGACAGGAATTATAGAGACTTATAAAATAGACGTTCAGAGCTGAGGAAACTGGGCCAGGCTTCCTCTGGAACTACATAGTACAGAAGAAATTATGGAATAATTCATGTAAGTTTAGTACTGTAATAACAAGGTTTATCACACTGTAACTATTGTAATCACAGGATTCCTGCAACAAATATTTGCTGAGTATCCATTATGAGAATGTTATAGGTACCACATGTACTGCTACAGGCACTGGTGACACAGTGTGTATAAAACAAAAATCCTTGCCCTCATGCAAATTACATGATAGGTAGGAGAAATAGACAAATTAAATATAAATTAGGTTAGATGGCTACATTTAAGGACTAGAAGAGGTGCAGGAACCTGGGTGGAAGATCATTCCAGGATGAGAGAACACGAAGAGCAAAGGCTGTTGCTAGGCAGAAATGTACCTGGCAAGCAGTCTAGAATGGTTGGAACAGAATGAAAGAGGGAGGAGTGGTAGAAGGTAAGGTTAGAGGGTAAGGTGGGGACAGAATATATAGGACTTTGCCGATCACAGTAATGACTTTGGCTTTTATTCCAAGTGCACGTGAAGTCCTTGGAGGATTTTGAGCCAAGAAGTAATATGATCTGATTTACATATCAAATTGTGATGTGAAATAGACTGATTGTTGTGCTGAGAACAGATAGGAGGACAAGAGCAGAAGCAGGGAGATCAGTTAGGATGCTATTGAAATAATCCTGGTGTT